TGTTCTTCTCAAGAACAAACTTGGCGAAGACACGAGTCCGTACTCGCGTTCTAGTGAACTGAGAAACAGTCAACAATTTGCTCTCCAACTATACACCTGTAACGTTCACCACTACTCAGCGAAGATTCTTATTTGAACCATTGCGTATATTAGCTGTGACATATGAATCAAGATGCTATGACCAAAACAATCTATTGACAGATGACTGTTGATGTATGATTGGCCGAATTTAGGTGTACAGGCTGATGTATAATTAACTGGCCTGCATAAGATAACGGAAAAAAGTTTTTTTTTTCTATAGACATTTTTTCATAACTTTTCGGCCAATATAGTCTGATAAAGGGTACATTTATATACATGTTTAAGGCAGAATGATTTGACATTTAAATATGATTTCCCTACGACTTTAAATATAACAAAAATATTGAAGAAAAAAAAAACAATGAACAAGAAAAGAGAGAATAACATAAATCAAAGCGGAACTGAAAACTTGAAAATTAACTCAAACAGAAATCCATATAGAGCACAACCATGACAGTATGTTCTTGTCAAAGAGCGTAATTTGGTTGAAAGCAGGTTTATTTAAGTTAAAATATCCTTCAGCAAACTGCACTAAAATAAGTGTTTGATTCCCCTATTTTAAGTATCTATGACAAACTTACAAAAATAAACCTGACTTAATTTTTTTCTTTAGTTCTGATCCAGTTATGTTGCCTTTTATAATTGTGGAGCCTTAGAAGCTTTATGATGTTATTAAATTATCTTTGCAGCTTGGTAACATACAGATTACGTTTAAAGAGATAAGAATTAATGTGAGCTCTAGTTCCGACCATAGCATGGATCAGTTTTACTGGAGCATGTTTAATGCAAAGAAAACAAGCATTTATAAGCCCACAGCCTGGCACAGTGCCTGGGGATAAAGTACAAAGAGAAGTCAGAGCGATCTGATCTCAGAGCTGCTCTAACTGAGTAAAAGGGGGTAAAACCAGGTCAGGTGGTGTTTAATTCAGTGGCTGACATCTCTTAGTGTTCATTTGTTGGGGATTACTCTGTATCTCTATATGTAAGTAGAGACCAATACTTTAGATTTCATTGTGGAAAATAAAAATTTACTTTTATTTTATCATTATTTTGTGTTTATTTGCTAAGATTATCCAAGTACATGCATAAATCTTTAAAGCATATGCTCAATCAGTGCTAAGTGGACATTTCAATTACTGCCTTCTCAGTTCTGATACTGTCTTTTTTACTGTATCAAAGTAAAAAAAAAAAAAATGTTAATATAACATCCATATTAGTATAATAATGTTACATACCAGCAGTAGAAATAGCTTTTTAAATTGAAATTAAAGCATCTATTTGGTATCCTATGTTTTTGCTTAATTTTAAAAACCAATTGGATTAGATAGAAATAGCCAAGAAGCTAAACCAAGCGCTAGGCTCAAATAAATGTGTCCCGTTTTTTCTTCTTCGCTTAAAGATATAGTGCAGTATTTTCTTTTTCTGGGTGGATCATCAAAATAATTGGTCCTCCTATTTGTCAATCATTCTGGTTATTTGTTTACGTAAGGACGTCCTATGTGCTCGTCACCATTTTCACTTACAGATGGTGAGTCTGACATAGTGGAGAAATTGCAAATCTTCTTTTGGAAAGTAAGTTTGTATGAGCGATGCAAACAGCAACTTTTAATCCACTCGTATTAAAGCTACAGTGTGTAACTTTTAGCGACATCTAGCGGTCAGACTGCAGACTGCAGCAACATGAACATCTCCCCCCCACCGCTTCTCCCCCCCAACAGTACGGCGAGCGTTACGGGACAAAATGTCTTCCACGACGTCCGCATCCCCTACCTTCTCAAGTGATGAGGTTTGTTTACATAGATAATTTTACAGATAGTATTTCATTAGTCTGTGTAGGGTATAGATTTCATGTAGACTTAAGATAATAAATATACCCGTTATTTTTTCTACATCGTTGTGACGTTTTGGCGATCTCGCAATCGCTAGTTTGTTGGCTCTGCGCTGCCGTAGCGCAAAGATGTCTGCCTCCATGGCTGCGAGACCCGCTCCTATGTAATTATAAAATAACGAATTCTAAGGCAACGCAAATATTAAGGTTAAGAGGCTGAGCTCGTAGATGATGATAAATAACATAGTTATGTATAATATATTACATTTCTGACTGTATATCCCTGTAATTATTACACACTGTAGCTTTAAAACCATTCAAGAGCGTGCACAAGCCCATTTCTCCTTGTGCACGCTCTTGCACGACTTTAATACGAGTTCCCTCTCTGGAGTGGGTACAGGGTTGTGCATGTGCATTTTTTTTTAAAGTGGAGAGGGCGGAAATTTTCAACAATTTGCAAACATCCTCTACTATATCTTTAAGTGTCTCCTATAAAAACTTTGTTATTCCAACTGTGTCAAAATAAAGTCATCAACCAGGCCAAATTTAACTGTGATCCATTGAACTTGTGTGCGTGATTATAACATACACGTTTCTTTCTTTCAAAGCCTTTCAACGGCAGCAGTGTTGATGCAGACACATGATGGAGGCCTGGCCAGGCATGGCCTGGATTCTGGTGCTGTTATCAGTTTCTGATTGGATGAAAATTGCACAGGGTCGGGACTTTACCATGAAGGACATCGCTCGTCTGCATCCTTCAAGTAGGGCCATGGTGTCGGCTAATAATGCAGATCTACCGCCTTTTCTCTGTGTTTATATTATCTCTATTTCTTTATTCAGAGATTTAGAAGGCATGGTGATGACTTTTCCTGATAAATCTGAATAATGGATGCCACTTGAGAAGGGAAGCTAATATATTTGAGAGAACATTTCAGGGTTGTTTATATCAATGAGGTTGTGTCAAATACCTGTGAAGAGTCAGTGTCATACCTTTTTTTTAATCTTATATTTTTAACCTCATACATAGTATTAAATTAAATGTAAAGAGTTACAAAGCTAAGTGCAGAACAGGTGGTATGCATACCATATCCCCACAACAAAGCAAATGTAAAGCAAATTTGTTTTCAAATTTTTAGCAAGGCTTTTCCTTCTTTTAACCAATTAATGTGATACAATATTTTCAGCTTTGTTTAATGTAGTCTTTTTCCTGTTCCAGAAGGTGTTACACATCCAGTTCTTACAACACTGACGAAAATATTGTTACACTAAACATTTAGGCTCCTCCAGACAAAAATGCAAATAAATCAGTGCATCATCATTCTGTTAATTAATTCTGTTGCTTTGCATTTGCTGCAGAAAGTACGTCTGGCAGTGTTTCTGTTTTCCAGCATCTTGTTCCAATCTTCCCAACCCGACAAGGCCACTCTGTGACCAAACAGTTTTTAGTAAATAATAATTGGATTATAAACAGTTGGTGGTAGAGCATTTTGCAGCACGGTTTCTGTTCTTCTTTGTTAACCGCTAAGTCATTTGTTAAATTTGTAGGTGAAAAGGGGGAGTTTAACATGGCCAGGCAAATACAAGGATAAAATTGTTGCGTAAAGTTCACATCTGTAAACAGAACAAAACTCCAGGCACCAAACAGACTAGGAGGTGAACTCTCTATAAAAACTCTGACTTTACAGCAATGCCTTTATTACCTGAACCTTTCAGTCTGAAATACAAATTCATACATTTTATTGTGATTTTATGCCATAAAACAAAACAGAGTAGTGGGTATATGAAATGGTTTCAAGCTGTTTATGTTAATCAAAACACAAAAATGTGGCTTGCATTATGTGTCAGTTAGTTTTTCTATGAAACACCCAAGTGAAATCCAGCATAACCAATAATCCTCAAAGGTCTCATTATTGGTAAACAGGGTGTGTGGTTTGTATTTTATTGTTAGAGGTTTTATTTAGAAAACCATCATTTATTTAGTTCTTGTTAAGCACTAGCTGTTTTTGTCTGTCGCATAAGGCAATAAAATTATTTAAAAGTTGTGGTTCTAATGCGACATGAAGAGTTCAAATGTCATAACCAGTGGCGGTTCTAGACTAAATGTACCAGGGAGCCAGGGTGTTTTCATGGGGGCACAGAAAAGCATGAAATAAAAAACAGGGCAAGGGTTTCAAATATATTAAGAGAGCTGCATGAAGGGAAATTTCTATTCAGGTAGGTTTAAGGAAAATTCTATTACTTATGAGGTCAATATACATTCATAATTTAAGAATTGTACATATTTTTTACTAAATTTAAGTTAAAATTTCCGTTTTCTATAAAATCTGAATTAGAACTCAAGAAAAACTGATAAATTCAGCTGTATAAATTTTTAAATTTATTTTGAAAAAAAAAACAACCATTTAGCAGATGAAACCTGGGATTCTAGCTGCATGGAGTGAAATTTCTATTCAGTTAGGTTTAATAAAAATTCTATTTCTTATTAGGTCAATATACATTCATAATTTAGGGATTTTACATATTTTTTCACTTAATTTACGGTAAGTAAAAATGACATATTTTCCAAAAAATCTGAATTAGAACTCAAGAAAAACTGATAAATTCAGCTGAGTATTTTTTTTTTTGTTTTGAAAAAAAGAAAAGCATTTAGCAGATGAAAACTGGGAACCTACAGTATCTTAATACCAATGAAGCTATCACCTTATTGTTTTTAAATAATTAGTAAAACATAATTTTTAAAGAAAAAAAAATGAAATATCAGTAACTATGTTCCAGCGTATATCATCATTAGAAATTCTTTTAAGTATTATTTCTTCAGTACAAGGGCCAGGACATGATCTACAGGGGTACTGGCCCCTTTTGGCCCCTGTCTAGAACCGCTGATGGTCATAACTGATAACCGTTCAAAAGAAAATCCATTCATGCATTGTAAATTTTAAAACTAAAACAGAAATGCATAACATTCGCAAGAAAATATGTATGAGCAGGCAAAATATTCTATGTGTACCGGATGTTTTTTTACCTAATATTCATGCTAAAATGAGCTGAAAAGTCATGTAAACATGATTCAGTTATGTCTGCATCCCCTTAGCCACTCCTCACCCCGGCGGCTTCAAGTGTTTTACATGTCAAGACGCTGCAGATAACTACGAGTGCAACCGCTGGGCCCCAGATGTTTACTGTCCAAAAGGTAAAGGTTTACTTTTTTTCTTTTAAATCATGCGTTTCTGCTGATCAGATTACTAATCAGAGGAGTTTCCCTTCAGATACCGGCTACTGCTACACGCTCCACATGATGGATAACCATGGAGACAGCGTTTCTGTGACCAAGCGTTGCTCCACCTTAGAGAATTGCCGCTTCACTGGCTGCATCAACATCACCCATAATGGCTTCCAGGTACGTGCGGAAAGATTGATTTAGATGCCTTTTCTACGTTTTTTCAGCTTTGCAGATGATCCCCTCTCCTCTGACAGGTGTGCACGTCGTGCTGCGAGGGTAACATCTGCAATGTGCTGGTACCCAGGAATGACAGCAGCGCAATGTTCTCCTTCCCCACTCCTCTGGGCAGCTCGGGTGGCAGGCTGCTTCCTGCTGTGCTGCATTTCTTCCCCCTCGTCATCATCAGCAGCTGCTGGACATGTTTAAGAGTCAAATAATTCAAGTTTATCAGACTCAGTTTTTACTCTTTTTGTTATTTAAAACTGTAACACTTAACTGTAAATGTTTTTTGTATGGCATTTTACCAAGCTGTCAGGGGAAGTTTAGCTCAATTTATAAAGTAAAAATTTACCTTTAAAGGCAATATGTTTGGATTTTATGATGCACAGAGAGCTTCCTTTTTTAAAGATTTGTTTTCTTTCCAAACTTAACTTAAACTGGTGTGATCAGGTTGGAGGTTAATTTCATTGGTATTAAACTAAAGGGGGCCAAACACACATGCTTGCCACATTTGACAGAAAATCCAAGAAAAGTTTATTTAAATCAGGATTTTCACTTGTTTACTATTTTCGGTTAATAATATGAAATCCCAATGACATACATTGAGGTATTTGGCTGTAATGGGGCGAAACTTTTACCGATTTTGGTACCTTTGAAAAGCAACATAAGAGCAGGGCAAGGAGTTCAGTTTGTGTCTAAGTTCTTGGGAAAATAAAAAACCAACTAGTTTAGCTCTAATTTTAGAGCAATTTAGGAACGTCTTCAGTTACATGATGTATAATGCTTCATTTAGACCACATTTCTAATCTCTCATTTATTGACCAATTTGATAATCTCAATAATAGTCAGTATTTAACAAGGTTCCCTCTCATTTTAATTACTTTTAAACACAGATAAACAGAATTCTCCAGCAGGTTTGTAGGACTTCCCAAATGTCATGCAGTTCAAAAAGAAGCTACATTTCAGGCATAACTTGAAACAATTGAAGATCTTTCAAATAAGTTTATTTTAAGATGAAAACTTTAAACATATTTAAGAATTTTTTCATGATTAAAACTGAGATGACCTGATTAATATGGAGGACCAACTGTGCCATATTTAAAAATAAATACAGAAATAAATAAATGCTCTATAAATAAATAAGCATACAATTAATTGCCACCAAAAATACAGTAGAAATAAAAATATACAGTGAGACATAAATGTATATAACTCTTAATTAGCTTCTTTATTTGCCTTTGTAATATTTAACCTATTTATTTTTTTGTCTTTTATAATCTTCAACTTTATTTTTTAATTACCTATATTTTTAAGTATTTATTTATGTGCATGTTATAATATTTTTGTCTGTTTTATTCTTCCTTTGTATTTTTTTTACCTTAGTTATTTCTTCAACGCTATTTATTTCTGCCTCATTATGCACATGAGGAGGGGGCGTGTCCTAGATAGTCAACTTCTGCTCATTGGTTGGCTTGGCGGCCCATCTTCTTAACTCAGAGCTCAGAGTACTAAGTTAAATGTTCTCTTTTCTGTTGCTGTTGTTCAATAAAAGTACGTTTTAAGATCATTTGAGGCGAGAACATTGTACTTTTAAGCATCACCATATGGCCCATTCACCGATTTAATGCGTAATTTAAAAGAAAATGTTCCGAACTTGAGAGGTCCGCGGCAACCAGCGGAGCTCGGAAGCTAATGGCAGCCAGGTCTAACCGCAGCCCGTCTACAGCAGCCCTCTCTCAGCATAGGACCGTTGGCTATGATGGCGATTTTTTTGTAGCATTTGCAAAAGGCGAGGACACGAATCCCTACTCGCGTTCTAATAACTTCAGACTCTCCTTTCCTTCTGTAGATTCGACCGATGCAGTAGAATGATAACCAACCAATAAGCAGAAGTTGACTCTCTAGGACACGCCCCCTCCTCATTTGCATGAGACAGAAATGTAAAAGGGCAGGCAGAAATAAATAGCGGCGAAGAAATAACTAGGGTAAAAAAAAATACAAAGGAAGAATAAAACAGACAAAAATATTATAATAAATACTTAAAAATATAAGTAATTAAAAAATAAAGTTGAAGATTATAAAGGACAAAAAAATAAATAAGGTAAATATTACAAAGGCAAATAAATAAAGAAGCTAATTAAAAGTTATATACATTTATGTCTCACTGTATAATTTAATTTCTACGTACATTTATTTGTTTATTGTATTTTTGGTGGCAATTAATTGTATGATTATTTATTTATTGCGCATTTATTTATTTCTGTATTTATTTTTAGATATGGCACAGTTGGTCCTCCATAGGTTAATACTTTTTACGCCCCTGCAGAAACCGTACTTTCCATAGTCAGGCACATAGATGGAAGCATTATGCTTTGGGCTGAGTGGGAATCAAATATTTCAAATCCATCAAAACTATATCTAACTCCTGTATCTTAGTTAGGAAACTAAACTTACAAAATCGGGAGGGTTAAATTTTAATTTCCCCTTTTTGTTGAGTAATACATCTTTGGATCACAAAAAACAAACACAAGGTGACTGCATCCTGAAGAGAACCCATTTTATTTGCAGTGTGGTACGTCAATAGAAGTTGTGTTTGCTAGAAGCAACAGTAGTCCACGTTGTTGTAAAATGTCTTTATGACCTGATATTGTTCCAGCCAAAACTTTCTGGTGGTTTTAAACCTTTTACTGTTTCTGCAATTTATAATCACCTGGAAAAGATTATTTCATAAATACAAATATTAATCTCTTAAAATATTAACACTTTCTACAGGCTGAAAATATTGCAAAGTTGATGCTTTGCTGAGTGTGAATCACCCTGGATGTAGTGAAGGACAAAACAGATTTGTGAGGGGGGGTCCTATTAGCACAGGGATGTCCTTACAGTACATGTTCCAGTCAGACAAGGTTTTAACACAAACTAGCAAAATCAAACATCTCTGACAACAATTTGAGGCATTCTGTGCAGATTTTCTGGTGTAAAACATTAAAAAATAAGCCTATTCTTCATCATCGAATGCGTTTGATAGTCCTTGGAGTCTGGTAATAGCAGCACTGTTAGTAGGTGCGTTGGTGAAAACGGTCCCAACGAATAAAGGCGTCCCCCTGAGGATGTGGCGAATGACAGTGCAGGAGCCCGACACTTCGATGTGGAAACCCAGATGTCTGAGCTGCTCCTCTGGACTCAGCGCCGCCACACTTGAGGGAGACGCAAAGAACTGCAGGAGAACCAATTTATATCGTTACAGATCTCAAAGAGACAGATTTCAATTTCCTTTTTGCAGATTTATAATATCTAGATTTAGATCTGAAGGAAAAAAACTGATGTTTTTAGAGAATACATTTCCCTATATATATATATATATATTTCTTTTTTTATTGGAAGCACAAAAGTTTAAAATAAAATTACTGTGGCTATTTATTTAAGTTTAATGAAGGATCAGGCTTTAAATAAGCAAATTGATATTAAGGAGACGTATGAATAAATAAAGGGAGAAACTTAATAATGAACATAAAACAACAGATGAATAATAAAACTTATATGTACCGTAATCTTTGGACAATAAGCCACAACTTTTTTTTTACAAGCTTTAAACCCCTGCTTCCTCATTGTCCGATACGGCTAGTAAGAGGATTTGTTTTTGGTTTGTTCTGCTGTTGTACGGCACTACTTTTCCTGGCGGAAGGCATGTGATCAGACAAAGTATCCATGGAAAAGAGTGGTATGTTGCTTACATGTCTGTCCGCCAGGCAAAGTAGTGCTGTACGATTTAGTGCTAAAAAGAAGCAACTGCATCCACTTGATTTCAGTGTGACTTGTGCTTTAAAGTGACACTACGTGTTCAGTGGGAGGCGTGGATGACGAGAGACGATTATTAATTCATCAAAACTGGTCGCGTGCAAAAAGCATGTTTTGGCCAAGTCTGCCAGGGGATTCATACAGCATGGAGGAGTGTCAAAACATCCTGAAAACCAACAGATTTCAAAGGGCAGGACTGCAGTGTGACAGTAGGAGGACACAAAGGTAAGTGTTCCCAAACAGCCATCTCTTTCCTGACAATCCCCTTTGAGCATATTCTCTTACAATTGGTAATTAAACATTGAAACAGGTGCTGCTAATTTTAACTTGTGCGTTTAATATTCAGTTGGAACATCTGCTAGAAATGACCTGCACTACTTTGTTTCACTCGACTATTATAGGTTGTATGTGCTGACATAAGTGCAATAAAAAAAAAAAGGAAAAGCACTTACAGCCTCTCCTGTTGCCGGGTTAATAAAGTCGGCCCAGTATCCTGCCGTCCACAGGGCGAAACACATCTCCTTAGCTCCGCTCACAAACTGCAGCAAGGCCATATAAACGGGTTACAGCTGCTGCTTTATACCCCATAAAGCAAACAATAGGCGAGATGCAGGCTCACCTTATGAAGCAGCTGGTCTTTGTCCGGCTCTGCTGACGCCTCGTCCCTCTGATTGGTCCTCTGTGTTACAGTCACGACTGTGATGGAGGCCGTGGGCGCCGAGGGGAACATCAGCTCCAGTTCTGAGACGGATACTTTGGTTATTAAAGGCAAGTGAAGCTGTAAACGAGGAAGCGCCTTAACGTTCTCTTACCTTTCCTTAACAGCTCAGGGCAGGAACTGATAGAACAATCTGTGTCTGTCTGGTTAAAGTATTGCTCAGCTTTGTGAACTCTTGTGGATAAAGGCCCTAATTTCCCCTGTTGATCAAAAAAACGTTATCGGTGAAGAAAAGAAAACTAAACTACAATATTTTAAAACTATGCTTTTTATAAATGCATATATTAAAATCAGACTTCATGCAAAGTAGCATATTTAACAGTATATTAAAAAATAAATAAAATTTAACTGAATTTTATTCAAGCGTTTACATGGAACTCGTTGACAAACTGGGCCAGTATGAAGTGATGTCTCTCTGTGCTGTTTGGAGTCGCCAGTACGTCAGGCACCGTCCTGTTAACCGGAGCCTTCTTTTGATTTCCCATTCCCTCAAGGTGGCAGTCAAACCCTGCGTTACCCGGCAACTGGAAGCGCTGGTCCTGAGGTCCGAACGGTCCCATGTTCTCATCTGGCCACACAGTCCTGGGACCTGTAGACACAGAATCACAAATTAAGGTTTATTGAGCCTAAATTCGCTCTCAATCTGCAGGTTTACTAGTGGTTCCTAGAATTTCTAAAAGTAGAATGGGAGGCAGATCTTTT